TTTGCTCGTATTCGTATTCTGCATCAGCATTCTGGACAGAAATTATTCTATACAACTGATTCTCGAGAATATTGCACTGACAGTTTCAAACAAAAAAATTTAAAAACTTTCCAGAGAATACCTTTTTTTGTCGGTCATCTACAGTTGTGTTAATACAAACTTTTTAAGATTGTCTCCGGATTTTTTTCTAAATTTTTCGGCATTTATCAGGTTTTACTTTTCGTAATTTTTCTTAATTTTTGTAAGGAATTTTCGGGGTTTCGGAACTATTTCAGTATTTTCTGAACAGTAGGCAATACCAATGTTGTCGCGTAATACAATTTAGTCTAATTTACGACCTTCGCAATGTGGCGGAATAATTGATTTTTTTTACCATTTCATGTGTGTAAAAATTATTTAAGTTTGGAAGGACATTACGCCATTTCTTACTTCTTATACTGTTTACGTAAAATATGTATAATTGAACTATATTAATTGGGCCGGTTAAGTAATAAGCTTAAGCACTTACATACATAAATTATATACATATAATAATTGTCATGCAGCTTTTTCCACTACTTATTTGCATTACATCCACGGCGATCAACCACCAATGGCTGTCATAAATTTAAACAGTTAACTGCTGAAACTGCCGTTTATGTGTACACATGCAGTTACAGTGACTCAAACAAATGACTACGTGTTGACTTTTTTTAAATATTCACAATGTTTTTCGAGCAAAATTTTTTTTTGCTATTTTTCAATAAAAATATAAATTGATAAACAATGAATTCGATCACAGTTTCGAACTTTATAAAAAATTTAGAAAAATTCAAAAAATTCCCATCAAAATTTTAACTTTTTTATCTGAATCTTTACAACATTTTTGGGTATGCAGTTTTATAGCCCATAAAATTTTAGTCTAATGAAGTGCAAGTGTCCACCGACTAAAAATCGCGTTGATTTTTGAAATTTTTTTTTATTTTTTGTAGACTGCTTTTGCGTTTTTTTTTTATATAGCAAAAATGGTGCAAAAATCCGTCACCAAAAAGAAACAAATCTCAAAAATCCGTGGGATTTTCGGTGTAAAATTGTATTAGCTATAAAACTGCATACCCAAAAATGTTCAAAGATTTAGATTAAAAAGTTGAATTTTTGATGAAAATTTGTTGAATTTTCTAAAATTTTCTATAAAGCTTGAAACTGTGATTTATACCATCATATAATTTTTTTGGTTAATTTTATATAAAAATATCGTCTAAACTTTAACAAAAATCGTGTAAATCACAGTTTCAAACATTATACAAAATTTAGGAAAATTCAACTAATTTTCACCAAAATTTCAACTTTTTATTCAGTGACGGTTTTTTGCACTTTTTTCATATGAGTATGCATTTCTTATGGAATAAAACGCGGGAGACCGCCAGCAACAAAATTTCAAAATATCAACACAAGTTTTTGTAAATTGCGCTCGTTATATTAAAAAAAACCGAAAAATTAGCCTAAAAAAATATTCTCAAAAGTCTGTGAAACTGTGATTTATACCATCTGGTTAGAAAAATAACAAACAAAATTTTGGCCAAAAAACTTTACGAATGTTTAAAAAAAATCAACACGGGTCATTTGTTTAAGTCAATGTATATACATATCGATGTTCATCCAATTTCGTAATCTGCAGGAGATTAATTGACGACATGCTTGCCGGTGCATGTGTACTTAATGTCGGTTTAATTTGTGTACTTATGTATGTATATTTTGACAGTGAAAAACAAACATTTCGCTTGCATACCCAGTAGGATAAATTACGAAATATTGTCGTACTAAGTAACAGAATTGGAACCAAAATTGTAGTAGCAGCCCAATTTTGAAATTTAATAAAGAGCAAAAAGATTTAAAAAAAAGAAAACTTCAACCTCTTGCTAACCAAACAGCCACACCTCACGCAGTCAAAGAAAGATAGTAAAACAAATAAATTGTAAATGGAGATAATAGATTTCGTCAAAAACAGTATTTTATTCCTTAATTTAAGCCACGTCCACTTTTCGATCACGCTTGAGGGATTTCAGCTACAATAGCCGCTATTTATAATTCCTCGCAAAATATGTATTCTATCAATGCTTTTACGTCCGTAGCAGTCTCCATATTTATTGGATTTTTTTTTTTGTCTTCTTTGCCTTGACAAATAATCTTATTAATCATTGACCATCATCGTCTATTTATTCATGCCAATTATAGTCCTTTTACAACTACGTGAAACATGTTAATCAATACACAAAAACACACACACACACACACATTTCGGCTCTGAAATAAGCCCGCTCACTAACTCATTGATATTTATGTATGTATTGGTTCTGAGATATTAATCTCATGAATAATTAATTCAAACAATGCAGATATCCCAACAAAGATTTAGCATTCATTGTTCGCTGAATACTCGGTAAATACATGGGAAGTATGCTTGTTATAGCCGCATTTGAAGTCGTACCCTGCAGGGAAAGCTACTGGTTGTGAACTAGAATTCTACCGGTTTGCGTTTCAGCTGAACTAGTTCACATTCTATCCTTTTTCAATGTAAGCGACTGGTATTTTTAACATTGCGATGTCCTACGAGATGTCAATTGTCAGCATTTACTAGTAGAAAGACTAGTAGCATCATACCAGTTGATGAGTAAGTCTGCCAATTCATCCCTAATGGAAATGTCCAATATGCGCAACCATGTTCAAATGCCGAATTGGAATCGCCTGAGGTCGCAGGTTGAAGTCCTGGTGCAGGGGAACATTTTTTATTTTATTAATTTTTTTTAATTCATCTTTTTTTTAATATTTTTTTTATTTATTATTTTTTAAATTTATTTATTTATTTTTTTTAGAGTTTTTATTGTAATTTTTAAATTTAATAAAAACATATTTTTGTTTAATTTCTATGGCACAAGCATTTCTTTCTATATGCATGTTTTTTTTTTGCAATGCAATTAGATTTTCAAATTTGTTATTTATTTATAAATTGAATAAATTACTTTTACTTACATGGATTTAACTTTAAAAATCTTAACCACCTCCAAGCGGCCTCGAACCTGCGATTTCAGAACCAGAACCAGTAGCCTTCACGTGACGCCACAGCCGACATTTGTAAGAAAAGCAATTAATTGCGTTTTATTTTTGGCTTTGGCAATTCAAAGGCAGATGTCGCTGAACGCTTAAGTTATTTGAAATTATCGAATTTACTAGTTAATGAACACAGGCACATACTAGTTAATGAACTAGTATTTTTTCTAACTTGTTTGGCTTTTCCCTGTAGGGTATTTATAATCGCGCTGGTTGTGTGTGCGTTTTCAAAAGCAATCCGCTGGGGACACATACTTTTACACAATAAGGTTCATTATCAATACTTTAATAACTAAGCAGCAGCGAGTAGTAGCAGTAGAAGAGGAGCGTGCCAATATCAGTGCATTGTAGTGGAAATAGGAAGATGAAAAGCAGCTTGTTAGATGAAGTGAAAATGATATGCTAGTGCCATATCACTTATATGTGTACATACATATTTATATACACAGTTGTATTTAGTTAGAAATCGTGGGCGATATACTAAAGCACAGAGACACTAAAGTGGATTTTCTTTTCTTGTTATTGCAAAATTATTATTTGCTTCGTAAGAATAGATGTCTTTCAAAGCTGTTAAAGCTTTTATTCATTCATATTTTATAAATTGGCGATATAACCGCTTAAGCGATTTTGGCCGAATTCACCCCCAGTGATTACCGTATCGTACTATTTCAGATTTGGAGTTTTTAAATCCATTGGCTGGTCAGTGGAATCACTGTTCTTTTTTTAATTCGGTACTCGCCGTCATAAATGAAGTTATTCTTCGTGTTTGGCGCTATAACCGCTTGGGTCAGATTTTTAGACAGTCATCAAAAAAAATATCTGTTCCGACGATTTTATCTCTTTTATTGGAACTCGTTATTACGTGGCGGATGCCTTACCCAGCGCACAATCAGAACCTGGGAATCTTAACATTACACTTTTTTAAAGCGACCCGCTTGCTCCAAGCCACACTACCACTTTCAGGCACACCCCATGGTGAATGAATGCTTCAGATTGCAGAGATCCGTTAAACTGAATATGTCGGAGTGGCCCACTAAAGCGTGACAGCGGTTTATCACCTTGGCAAGGGTCGAGAACGGGGAAAGGTACAAGAGTGGGAATGAAAGTTGAGATGCTGCGGTAACGATAACAAATTCTATACATATCGAAAACCATAGTGATAAAAAAATCGATTATAGATAAGAATATAGTGGAATTCATCGCTTAAAACAATAAGAATTTCGGTTTAGATAGCGACAACACTCGTTATTCATAAAATTATCGATAAATACATCAGTATCGAAATAAAGTAAAAAATGTAGTTAGATCTCTGCTTTAACCAACATAAAGAAGAATGACATTTTAGTCATTAGCGTAGCCCTTATTGCGAAAAGTATTCAAATACCTGGCCTCAGTCGCTAGCAATAATCGAACGGCCAAAATACATATCAAGAAATACAAAATCGTATATAAATTTAAGTTTAAAGGTTACCCAAAGTGACTTAAAATTTTTTTTCATTTTCTTTATCCAGTTATAATATATACTATCCTAGTATATCCAGTCCGAGAGTTAAATCTCTGCCGCACATCCGTTTACTCATTTCCCTTCATGCCACTTCAACTTTTTGACTTAATAACAACCGCGTTGCATATGTATGTTCATATATAGTAGTCATGTCTATTTATTTAATATGCTTCATTACCGACTTTATAGTAGGTCTTTGCTGGTCGCCTCTTGCTGCCTGCCAGCAGGAGCACAAGACGTGTTAACTGGCCGTGTCTGCAAAACGGCACAACGTGCCAGTATTTATTGATTATTTTTTTCAAGTCGTTGCCATCGTGCCGTTCTCATTGTTGTCGCTTTTGTCATATTCAATTAAGTTATCCTTTTTGTGCCTTATTTCTTATTTCTATTTTTCTTTTTCCCATTGCAGATTGGTAGCCACGAGGGCACTTGGGTGGTCGCTGATTACATTGCAACACCCGGCTCCAATGAGTTGAGTGTGACTAAAGGGCAACAAGTTGAGGTTGTGGAAGCACCCTCAGCCGCCGAGCCAGATTTCTGTTTAGTACGCCTAAATCCACAAAGTGACGATGCAGCCGTACAGGAAGGACTGGTGCCTGTTTCAATACTTAAACCATCGCCAAGCGCACAGAAGAACAGTTCGGCGCGCAAGGAAACAAACGATGTGATGCAGGAGCAAAGTGAGTACATAAATAGTTGACTTTTATGATGAATGAAGAGCAAATCTTATAAAGTTTTAATTTCACAATTGTGTGCTTTACTTTTTTTAGGTAACAATCGCGGCAAACCGGATCCGTTGACTTCATCAACAAAGCGACGTGGTTTTAGCGGGTAAGTTTTACTTTCGAGTGTCATACGAAAAGTTTAAAAAGTTAACTGACGTTGGTTTCTATTTGAGAAGTAAAAGCAGAAATTGAAAAGAAAAAGTGTTAAAGTTGTAGCTAAATTTTGTGTGAAAGTTCTGTGAAAAGGCAAGTTAACTAGTTTTAATTAAAGGCGAACTGCATGGGAGATTTTGTGTAGGAAAAAAGTGTAATACAAACTTAAGTACATATTTGGAATAATTATAAAAAGTATAGTGATAGTGTAAATGGTATTTAATATGAAAAAAACTTCTGAAAAATAGGTTGTTAGTAAAAGCGTTCAACAGAAATAATAGAAGATAGAACATTTGACCATAATTAAAGAGAAAGAAAAAAGATATTGAATAGTTTCAAGCATTTATATTGAAATATTTTGGAAAAAAGGTACCAATAAACGCCCAACGTAAAAATAACGTAGCGACTGGAATTTTGAAAAGCTGACATGCAACTATGTACAGTGAGGAGCAAATTGACACTTTGACACAGCAAAAGACCGTCCGCAAAAAAAATTTAAACACGCGATTTTCTGTGCTGTTCAAACTTCTACTATATTACTCTAAAATTGTTATAAAACTGCATACTCAGAAATGTTTTAGAATTTCAAATAAAAAAGTTCGAAATTTGATGAGTTTTGAAGAAATTTTCTACATTTTGTTTAAAGTTCAAAATTCCGATTTAATCAGACTTGGCTATAGCATGGACAATACTTTTATCAGAAATTGACAAAAAGTTTTAACATGAAAAACATTTTAATATTTAAAAAAAAAACATTACCATTTTGACGCTTTTGTTCCTCACTGTGTGTATAAAGCAGTCATTTTTGTGGTCAAAGAACTTTTTTATGACTCCAACGAGTTTAACACTCTTATTTTCACAATTTGATTTAAACGAAAATTATAAAAATTTCAAAAAGCATATTTCTGCATTTATCACATACATACATACGTATTTCCGATCCTTAATTTGCAAAATTTTCAAGTCTGATCATTCATATGAAGATCAGCAACCTCTCCTAAAATAGCCTACAACTGAAAAATTACAGTAACTATGCACCTACCTTTGGATGGCTTTACTTTCAAAAAATGCTTACGAAATCTAGGCTGTGGCGCTATAACAATTTAAGCGATTTTGGCCGAGTTCATACAGTAACAAGTACCTAAAACAGAAACAGGCGGCCGCTGTGGTGTAGTGGTTAGCAGTGCGCGCTACCACTCCGCAGGGCCTGGATTCAAGCCCGGTTCAACTCAACAACAAAAAATAAAAAACAAAAAAAGTTTTTTCTAACAGCGGTCGCCCCTCGGCAGGCAATGGCAAACCTCCGAGAGTATTTCTGCCATAGAATTAATATACATACATAGTAAAACTGCGTTTTTAGTTTTTCTCTCGGACGTCAGTTTTTTTTGTAAAGGACTTTCAAAAGGAAATTTTAACGATAAGATTAATTTCAAAATTTATTTAAAACAATTCTGTAAAATTAGAAAAGATAAAATTTTTTGGTGCATAATGACGAATAGGTATTGACAATGTCCTTTCGAAAATTCACACCTAAATATTCTTAAAAAATTTGCAATATTTAGTTTTTAAAAAAATTATATATCAAGGACTAATATACGCACGTGCACATCCTCGAATTTCGCCGTTTTTACTTTATTAGCTAAAAAAAAACGAATTAAAAGGGCATTTTCAATACCTATTCGTCCTTGTGAAGCAAACTTCAATTGTTTAAATTCTACAGAATTTTCTCTTTCATTTTGTTCCCATATTGCTACTCAACATTAATATAATATATAGACCGGCGCTTACACAATATGTCAGTGTTTGGCCAAACTTTTCCTCCGGTCTGTGACGTGCGCCTTGATGTTGTCACACAAAGGGGAGGGGCCTAAAGTTCTACGCCGACTCCTGTTTTTCTATTCTACATTGCACTGATTTTATTTTATTTTTTTTAATTAATTAAATCTTTGAAAAATAAAATCCTTTTAAAAATCCTAACGACAAACTATGGGCTAGCAATCAATAAAAAGTGGCCAATATTCGAAATCTTATCAGAATGGCTAAAGACTTGCTATGGGGAGTTTTTTGGGATCAGTAACTACGAATCTGAAGTTAGTTTTAAAAATTCAAAATGGCGGATCCATTATGGCGGATAATATTGTGAAAAGTAGTTGGATTGGCTTGGGCTCACTGATCACGAATTTAAAAATATGCCGACTATTTTGTGTTGGTGGCCGTGTCGGTTGCCTCGTGTTTATCGTTGTGTATTGAGTTTATTGGCTTAGTTCATTGAAAACAGTTGAGCTGAAAATGTATTTTAGTAGAAAAGAAAATTGTCTCCCATATGTTCATTTCATACAGAGCACACACTACTGAGGTTGCCGCAATGGCTGCCTCTACGGTTGTGTCGTGTATATTGAACAAGAAAAACAGGTTGGCTCAACACGTTGCTTCAACAGTTGCCCGGTGTGTAGTCAGCATTAGATTTCAAAAATTCGAAGTGTCGAATCGGATACGGCCGGCATAAAAAATACGTAACATGTAGTTTCCGAAGCCCAACAGGTGGAGGCTTAACTACGAATTAAGACTTCACTTTTTTATATCTTTGGTATTTTTTTTATATTTTGTTTCTTTTTTTATATTCACAAATTTTCCACCAATTACGAATGTAGACTTCACTGTGTTTTTTTTTTTTGTATTTTGAATTTTTTTTTTTTTAATTTTTCATTTTTTTTTTTTTGTATTTTGAATTTTTTTATTTTTTTTTTATTTTATATTTTTTTGCGAATTACGAAATTGGGCACTCGCTTTTTTCGTATTTTTGTTTACTTGTGTTTTTCTTTTTCTTATATATTTTTTTTACCAATTACGAATTTAAACTTCACTTTTTAATTTCTTTTTGTATTTTTATTTTTTATTTTTTTTTTATATACTTGTTATTTGTTTACCAATTACGAATTTAGACTTCGCTGTTGTATAATAAAATAAAAATGTGCAAAATTGAGCAAATTTATCATAAAGTACATTTAATGCAGAATAGATTTCATGTTTTTTTGGTGATATGAGATGGTACACAGGAGTACTGCTAAACGACAGCGACAAGAATTCAAAGAATTTACACCTGATTCAATAAAAGATGTCGAATTAATTTAAGCCAAAGGTTTTTTGAACTATGTTTTCCTTTTCTTTTTATTTTACTGCATTTTATTAATAAGAAACAAAAGGCAAAATTAAAATATTTATTATTCTCTGGAAAGAAAATATCAATTTTGCTTTATACCGGTTTTATAAATTTCCAATACAACTATTTTAATCAAAATCAAATTGTGACCACAATATTGAAGCAATTGCTATAATATTTTACTAACAGTTACCTTAAATACTGTATATTTTGGCTATTAGCTAAACAATTAAAATTCCAAGGTTGACTTTTGGCCGTTTTTGAATGCCTTCTGGCCATTTGTGCGACGGAGAAAAAAACGAATAACGCAGTTTTATTATCAACGCCATTGCGAGTGCCGTGTCGAATGCAAGTTGTTTTTCGAAAGTCGAGTCGTATCGAAAAGTACATTGCCTAAAAATTCGATTTGACTAGTGTATTAAAATGGAAAAACTTGACAGCACTGGATAGTTTTCGACAGTTTTCGTCATCTTACGACAATAAGCAATGCCAATGTTGTCGAGTCGTGCATTTTAGTCTAATTTACAACGTACGCAATGAGGCTGCATATTTGGCTCATAGTTTCATGTGTTTAAAATTTTTTTTGTTTTTGTGTTGCTGAATGCTTATTTACAGATACTACTTCTTGAACTAATATGGTATATTTATCGGTTGGCTATAGAAAGCTGGAAATTATTTTTTTAAGGTCGTTCATTGATGCGACTTATTCTAAGCCAACCCCTATTATATCTAACACGATTCGCGCAATAAAGTACATGTACATATGTATGCACATAAAGACGTAATATATGTATTTGAATATAAATAACCTTTGCGTAGTTATAGGACCGCAATATATGTAGGTATACAAATTAACGAAAACTCAAAAAACGTAACAAAGGGGTAAAACGTTTTACCTTTCAACTCTTCTTTGTATACATATGTACATACATACTATATACTATATGTATATTTGGTATGTTTCAAAAGTAAATAAATTTCCTTGTATGAACTTATGTATCTACAAGTACATAGAATGTTATATGTACATACATACATATATGTATGTGTCCGTCTTATCAATATCGTATTGGCGTCATGCTCTACTCAACCCCTTATCTTTCGGTTTCTTTATGTCTTTCTTACGGCAAAGCGATTGTTTTGGTTCTATGTAGGTAAATTCGAAAACCTCACATAACAATCGAATATATTTATCTCCATGTATTATTTTACTGAGCGACCGCAGTTGAGCGTCAGTTTTTGTTTGTACCCAATGCTCAAAATATGCCAGTTAACCGGGAACATTCGGTTAAATTAAAACAATGCGTAGTCTACGAACCGAGTGATTTTAATTCACATTTTGGAATAGACCTGAATAAGTTTCTTCAGTGTATTTAAGGAAGTATGTTTTTGATTCGGCATTTGTGAGATATTTATTTATATTTAAAAGTTTTATGGGGGTTTTGGAACGTAGTTCTTGATGAACAGCGCCATAGCACCCACTCTTTGACTCACTGAATAGATTTTCTTTGAACAAAACCCATTTCTAGGGGCATACCAATCTAATTCATTTAATTTGCGCATTGGGCATACAATTTTCGGTTTCAACTATACGTTTCCAACCTTCCTTGCTATCTTGCCTTGCAAAGGCAAACAATTTGACGGCTTTATCTATGTTTTTGGTGGAAAACATAAAACAGTCGATTCTAGTTATGAGGTAACCATAAAGTAAAAGAGCGGTTCTGAGTAACTATGTATGTATGTATATAAGAAGTGGTACTTTTAAGGCCAAAATACTTCACTGCCTGGTGTTT